ACCAATTACAGGAGGTTAGGTATCTTCCGAGTTCGCTCTTTTTACTGGGACGCATGTCTCTACTTATGACGACCTTTCGACTATCTGATTTATCGCATGAGATTTTAGGGTTTAGAATGACCACATTGTGATCTGAGAGGCCAAAGGGAGGATGTTTCTCTACGGAGTCTTTAGCGTAAAACGAGTATAAGTTGGTGATAATTAGATCAAGAGTCTGTCAGCTCTGGTAGAAACATTGACCATTTATTTGCATTGAAACTGGTTCAATAGACGGTTAACTTTTAATTGGTTGAAGTCTCCTGATAACATTAGACCACAGCCTGGGTAATCGCTTTCAATGGTGGTAAGTGATATTGAAAGGTAACTGAGCATTTCATGATCATCGGTGGGTGGTATATTACGCCAATTACAAGACAGGTAAATCCACGGGGTAATCTTTTGGGAGTAAAACGTACCCAGAGAACCTCTAACAAGGGATGCTGTAGATGGTCTAAACATTCAAAGGATATTGAGTTCTTAATATATAAACCCACACCTCCATGACAGCCCACTGAACGGTGTTTGAAGATGAAATTATATCCATCTATATAAAGACACGATTCGTCAATTGATCCATGGAGCCAAGTTTCGGTGATACAAGCAGCGTCTGGATTGTGAATTTTCATAAAACAAGGGGTGAGTGACATGGTGTTTGTGAGTAATATTTTGGGCACGAACGTCTTTTTGTTCTCATTTTGGGTTTTAAATGAGACAGTAATTTGGGTTTTAAATGAGACAGTAATTAATTAGTACTATCACTAGCATTAAATCGTTTTCCTCTCGATCTTAAATTTGCTTCTCTATACAACCATTCAATAAGATTTGTAATATTTTCTTCTTTATGTTCCCGCATCATATATCACGTCCGAAGTCAGCGTTATCTCTTGACTCCAATTTAGACAGTAATTGTGACATAATAAATGGAGATTCGTTTGAATCTGCTACCGAGCACCCGTTTTCTTCCATGTCATTTGCAAAGCCCATAATTTTAATAGCATAACGCATAACATTCCATGTCAAATACGATTTTCGTTTCCCGTCCCATACCGGGACTGAGAGTTTTTCTAATGAACTTGTCTTATCGGTTTTTGTTGAAGTAAGTGCCTCTGCCATTTTAGTCACGGCAAATGTCATAGCCTGGATACTGTCTGACTTATGTTCTGATGATTTATTTAAAGAGCACTTCTTTTGATATTCAGCGAAACTTTTAGTACAATTTAAATAGTGAGTCTTTACTTGAGTACCAATTTTCTTATTACTTTCGAGAATCTTTTCCGCTTCTTCGGAATCGCTAACTTTACCTTCTAATATTTTATCAATAATTACTTCTTGTTGTTGTTTCACGAGCCTATATTTCGTTTCGATATGTTTGTACACATTATCCAATGTTGAAACTTCTGCTTCAACACTGTAAAGTACTTGAAATTCTTCGAACAACTCGTAAGAGAATTGACCATATTGTCCCGCTTTGCTGTTAACAACGACACGTCAATCGATCTTAAGCGGCATTTCTTTGCTTAATGTCCTTGTTTATAGTTTATGTAAATTGTGATTTAAATGCTTGCCAGCGAAGCGTCTAATTAAACATTCCTTTAAATTGTTCAATCTTTGCTTGGTTGAACATGCTTTGGATCTACCATGGAACTTTAGTACGTGATATTAATACATAAACTGGTTTTCTCCTATACCTTCATTGATAGTTCATCGATATGTAGGAAGAAGGCCTTCGATGACAGTGCTAGGAGACGGCGTTCAATCAATCCAGATAAGCTTTACCTCTAAGGCGATGTTGCCGATATAGCGTATCTTGCGATTTCGTGAGCGTAGTTCTCCAGTAGTCTTCCGTTCTTCTCCTACAGTTCAGATTACTTCTCTAGATATAAATTTGACTGTTTTGCACGTGTTGGCGGTTTAATCTAGAGTCAGAACAACTTCGGATATCCAGGAGCGTTTATTTGTACTATACGATTTCAATCAGTTTATTATACTGTCTCATATATATATATATATATATATATATATATATATATATATATATATATATATATATATATATATATATATATATATATATATATATATATATAGTCAAACTAAAGAGAAAATAAATTACATATAAGTACTAGCTAAGATTGTTATATACAAGAATGAACTTGAAATACAATATAATATACACGTTAAAATATTACTTACTTTATAGTTACTCCT